TTTGAGGAAACCTGCAGCCGGATTCCAGCATTCGTTATCGCTAATTTTGATCGCTAAAAATCTCCAAACGAATAATGGCCCTAATACAATATGAAACATCTATTTACATGCCCCTCATACTGCCAGATTTGGCTGATTACACATAGTATCTGTTACTTTTCCATGTTGCGTACTTTTAGGCCGAACTGCTTTTCATTAAAGAATTTCAGCGATGGAAATTTAGCGTAGCCATTGCTGACCGGGCGAGCTGTCGAGGAATGGTCAGCGGAATAATTCGAAAAAGCTAATTAAATTATTGAATCACTATGATGTAGTTTTGAGTAACAGGGCTGGGACCACAAATTCTCTGGGAGTAATTTTGTCCGGGTTTTTTTTTGTTGCGGGGGTTTTTTTCTGAGAGATCTTTGTGCGGGTGATTTTTGTCTGGGGGAATCAGTCCGACCACCATTCTATTGAGATGCTGCTATCTCAAGCTATGGTCACAGCTATGAAATTTATAAACACGGTAGAAGAAGATTAGCGGCAATTTCTCCATAATTAGCTCAATATTTGTATTTTTTTGGATTATGACACTTGAAGTATTAGGGATCTCAATTCGGAGATTCGGCAACTTGTGAACGTACATAAGCGGAAGAAATGGGAAGAGCATTTGAAGACCTGCAACTTCGCCTCTGGTGTGAGCAAGCTTTGGTCAACCGTGAGGTCGTTGTCCAACCCGACGAAACGTGGAGAGAAGAGTCGAGATAGACTTTGGTGACCACGCTTCGAGCATGGCGTCACGGTTCGATCATGGCGTCATGGATGATTTGTGCTCGAAAGTAAACGGTTACCTCGCCGAACTTTCTCGCTTCTTCACTGCAAGGAGCCTTGCCCTATCCCCTGCGAAATCCTCGGCAACTCTTTTCACCACCTGGACGAAGGAGGTCAGACTGCAACTGGGTATTCACGTCGATGGCGTAACAATACCGACGGTGAATAACCCGAAAATCCTCGGAGTTATCTTCGACAGTCTGCTCTCCTGCTCGGCGCATACAACCGCAATTGTCAACAAAGTACAGAGCCGCAACACAGACGTGGCCATCCTAACGGACAGCTGCTCGCGGAAGAGCCCTCGCCACGGCACGTCAGGAGGCATCTTTACGAACTGACGGACGAAGTCCAGAGGTATATAAAACAACCTCTGGACCCGTCAACCTACCGACAGGCCCTGAACGGTATTCACAGGGAATCAGTCTCAAGTTATGTAGACTCCCGCCCTGTGAATGCCGTTCTAGGCAAACAACCACAGGACGTGGCCGGGACAGAACTTTGTCTGCCTCGGGAGACCCGCACTACAATAGCCCAACTTCGCTCTGGCTATTGCAGCAGGCTCAACTCTTACTTGAGTAGAATCAACGAGAATGTGCCCAACCAATGCCCGGCATGCGGAGAGTCCCCACATGACTCCCGGCACCTCTTCACATGCCCAGAGAACCCCACTCAAAATTGACGACAACGCTGAAATGTTCTCAATTTCTTCATCAAATATATTCGTACCAGCGTGATACATAACTGCTAAATTTAAAACTCGTTAGAGAAGGAAAATTTATAGAACAGTATTTAGAGCCTACACCACATAACTAGAGGCAGATATTCCCATGGGTCTACGTAACTGGAACGACCCAGATTTATATCTGGCCAAGGACTGTCATTCCAGCTGCACTAACTATTAGGGGAATTTGGATTCTATTACAACAGGCATATATCTTACTCTGCCTCCGAACGCGGGAATTGCTGGTGGATTTACGGTCCAAGGCCAGAAATAGAGCTAATCTTCTAAGGCTTTTTTCGCGTGTTCAGCGCCATAATCGAATGGATCGAAGTACGTTTAGGATCTAGGTTTGGTATTGCAGCAAATGCATTTGACAATAAAGGAAGTTCAACTCATGGCTTTCTCGCAATCAAAACAAATACTGTAATGCCGCTGCTGGCTATGGTTACTGCTATGCCAGTATTTGTTTGCTTACTGCAAATAGTGATTTACATTAAATTCAGCAAAATAACGGGGCAGTACGGCGAGTGCAGAAAAACAATCGGGTATGCAGTAAACGGTAGCAGTTTACATGTTTAATATTTTTCACTTTGTGTTAGAACGCCGTGATAGAAGTATCGGATATTATTTTAATAAAAAACATACATATCGTCGTTTAAAGTACAAAACCACGTATCGTCGTTCTGTAAAACCGCGTAACTGACATTTTTTGCCAAAAATTGGATTTTCTCACAGCTTGGCCTTTTCCATTCGTCCTCAAATACCAACCAGAAATGCGATTGCTTTATAAAAAAGAGAACCATTTTGTGATACTCTCTAGAAAATAATTTATGCAACCTCACAGACGCGGTTTTGCACTATCGTGATACGCGGGTTTGCATTTTGTTGATACGCGGTTTTGTACTTCAAACGACGATATATACATATGTACGTGTTTTTTCTTATAAATAAGCTTTTCTCTATTAAAGTGTCCAAAGTTAAAAATAATTGGGGTAAGTTGTTGCTAAGTTTAGGTAACTTGGACAGTATTACTGTACAGTAGTTGCATTCGACAGTAAGGGCCGTTTTCTCATCCAACCTTTAGATTACCGGCCACTTTATCGCCTCGATATACGAGTTTTCGTTTTCTCATCAGCGCATTAATTTCTCGAATCGATAAATTGTTGCTCACCCGATGCAACCTTCAAAATTTTTGTTTAGTTTTGGTTCATGATATATTAGATATTTCTACCAAGGTTTTTGTTTTCGCTAACAGTTGCTCTTGCTTTATATTTGCTTATGTTGCATTGCCAACCTTTGAAATTTTATGACGAATGTAGTGAAGTTTCACTCTCGGAAATGTAGTGAAGTTTCACTCTACGGAATAACAAATTTATTTTTACCGGTAAGATAAGAAAACCAAAACACTTTAAAGTGAGGAAGTGAGGAAGTGCCCTGTTAGTAAATGCAACTATATTGCTTACATTAGAAAACGGCCCTAAATGCAGTAGTGCTTCATGCTTTATTACAGCAATGTTTTGTTGAAGCAAAGTTTTCATTCACTACTTGCAGTAGTCCGCATTTGACAGTATTTGAAAGCTCTGAGGAAGTGAAGTGAAGTAAAGCGAAGCCCTCTAAAGCACACCACATACGGTAGGAAAGGGTGCATTCCAAAACGTCAAAATACGAAGCATAAGTATCTTTTATTTTTATGCCGCACTAGAAAAAAAGTCTAACTTGCGCAACCTAGTTGAAAACTTGCATCTAACCGTGGTTCCGCACATTTGGCATTTACAATCCACTGAGGTTTATAAATGAAAGCCACTTATGCTTTGTATTTTGACGTTTTGGAAAGCATCCATAAACTCAGCATAACACTTATAGGTCTTTTAAGGATGGCAAACGATCTTCACTTGGGTTGCCAGTGGCTGAAATGGCTATTGGCAACTGCATTTTTGCAACAGATATATTTGGAAAGCCAGTATTTATAATCTGATTAGTTGCGTTCCAGATAACTTCGTGTAAATGCCTGTAAAACTGTCAAATAACAAAATTACTTTCTTTAAATAGAGGAGCGAGAGCGAAATAGTAAAAGTCACCTGGAACGCGAGAAAAACACTATTCCTGTAACTACTCCCATTTTTTAGAACATGTTAAGCTACCTTTACATGAGGCGATGTTTTGACAGGCGATAATCGCCTGCTAAAGTTGACTTGCTGTCTACTTTGAGGCGAGCGATTTGTGAATCACCATATACACGAGCTATTTTTCTTGAGCCTAGAAAATCGCGTCATATAAATCCAACTTAAGGTTCTTTGCTTTCATGGCGTTCTGTTTTTTTTTTTTTTTACAAATTCAGGTAGGGTAGGGCCATTTGACACTTTTCATGAAATTGCAGGAAGAAAAACTTCGGACTAAAATCTGCAACTTCTGACTGAGAGACAGTAAGTTACTTTTACAGAATTGCTTTGACTTACGGCTTTTTTTTTTGACACCTGGAACGCTTTCGTGTAAAAAAAAAACTTACAAATCATGAATATCCTGAGCATTTTGAACACAACTATTAAGTTCCTATTTAAAATGATTATTACTTACATGAAAAGGAATAAATCCACAAAAAATGTTCGCGATAGATGGCGCAGGAGTCGAGAGAAAATCCGTATTTATGGTCCGATTTGTTTCAATTTAGATATGTACGTGTGTTACTAAAAAGGAAAGAAATACCTCCCAAAATATATTTAGACGTTGGTGGTACGGAGGTCTATTTTTATTTTTTTAAGTAAATATTTTTTTAATGACTTGGAACTGTTTCTTTAGCCACACGCAATGGCAGACTATTGTCTTTACTACTATTTTAAGCGCTCTTATGGTGACAATTGTCATTGTCATTGCTATGACCAACTGAGTACGCGACAACGGCGAAACAATATTTATATTGCATTTTATGGGCAGTGGCTGTGACAGTAGTTATACGATAAATTTTGTCAATGTTGTGAGAATAGGGCCGTTATTTGCTGGTACTCCAAAATTCTTTTATCTTCTTTTTTTATAGAACTTAACTGTAGTTGCTATTCATAATCTACTTATTAATAGCAGCAGAAATTCGAAGAATTTCCATCGAAGCCGTATGTATATTGCCGGAACTAAACAAATTTACATGCATACAAATATTGTTGGTCCACACTGGAGTCCACAGCAAAACTAATCGTGTTATTCTTGTTTTCGTACGAATCGAATATAATTGAGTTTTCCTATCATTTTCCATACAAAAATTTCAAATTTTCGATTCGTACGAAAACAAGAATACTTTGCTCTCTAGCGATGTAATGCTACGTGTCCTTATCCGCTGAAATGGAGTCCTTGTACTGTTTGGCTCTTTGCATTATATCGCCTTAAAATCATCACCTCGTATCCCCACCTATGGTCAGCTATTGTTTACGTAAGCTCATATTTTTAAAACTATAAATCCATTTAAATGAAAGCAAATTCATTAAATTTTAAAAACAAATTTCTCATATATTTGCTTTGTTCGTGTTTCTTCACTACATTTTGTGATTTTTTTCTATAAAACATGTTTTAAACTTTTGCTCCATTTATAAATAAAAATACTAATACTTATGTCTAAATTACAGAATACAGTAATAATAATAATCATTTGCTTCACCAGCATGAAATTTGTTCCATACTTTTTTTTTACGCACAGTATGTATCTATATATGTACATGTATAAGGAATTGTCTTTATATCTACAGTTAATGAATTGTCTACAATTACATAACTTTCACATATGATTTATAATTTTATAAATACTTTTGTAGTTTATTTCATTTCCTCTCATCTCGATTAGTGGTATTAGTTTAAAAATTTTGTTCTTATTTTAGAGTTCTAACTTTTTTTAATCTTACGTAATTGCAGCTATTAATTAAGAGTTACGTAAAAATGATTTATGTACATACCAAAGACCTAACCTATAAGTATGTACATATGATGCAAATATCTGAAGTATATATTTTCGAATTCACTACATATATATATGTAGATAAAAAGTATATACAATTTAGAATTCAGCTAGTTTTACTTTTGTGCCTTGAGTAATACATTTTAAGATACGATTTTACGGTTTGGAGGAAAAATTGGCAAAAAGTTAACAAATGTTTATAAAGTAGGATAATTGCGTGTGCGTTTGTGTGTGAAATTAAAATTGCACTAAAGTTAAACCAATTAAAATTTTAAAATTATAAAGTTATAGTGTTGCATGTGTCTATGAAGTGCGCAGACACATACTACACATTAACTTAGTTGTGGGATTTAAGAATTTTTACTTTGGTTTTGTTGTTAGAATGCAAAATGAAAGAATATTTATGTATATTAAATGAATATTAACTGTTTTTTTTATAGCACCTGATGTATACAGAAATTTACTATGTAATGCGTGGTGTTGCAGAAAACAGTCAATATTATTTATGTACATACGTATATACTTTTATAATTGAATCTTTCATAAATTTTTTTTCGTTCAATGAAAGCTCGAATCCTGAAGGGGTTGGATGCACAATTCGAAAGAAATTTATCATTTAAAAAATTAAACAAAGTTTCAAATTTTCGCAACTATTACAAGTTTTCATTCAAATTAATTACGATTTCAAAAAGAATAAAATGCTATATAGCATATAGCATAATTCGTGACGTTTAAAATTTTTGGTAAAAATAGTTAAATAAAATATAGTTAGAAGGTCATTTGAAATTGTCTTTTTATTTCGATACTTCTTTAAGTACGTTTTTACGCTTCAGGACCATTAATTCATGCGCAAGTACGCGTTAAGGTAGAAAAGAACTTCGAATAAATTTCTTACGAATTACGCAGCCCAGCATGCTTTATTTCTGGCTCTCCACTTGCTGAACACACAATTTCCAAGGGCTTTCGAAACGTAAAGTTCACAACCTGAGCATTTAACACTTAAGAGAACTTATTTAGTTGCAACTAAATTGTATAATACAAAGGGCATACTGTTTTACAATAACAATTTGCTGACGAACCGTCCTATGACTGCCTTTTTTATTCCAACATGGAACTTTCATAAAAATAGTATAACATTTAATTGGCTGTTGTGTTTTCTCTGCTTGCTGTGCTGCCTTAGTTGGATCAGCGTCAGTGCGGCTGCTTCCACCATCTCTCCCATGCGCTCCAACTGTGCCAAGCACCTTGCGCTATTAGCAGTCACAAACACCAGCAAGGCCACCTATTAGCATTGCAGTACCGCACGCCGTCAGAGTAGAACAGCGCGTGGCACCACGTCTCCTGCATTGTACCATTGCCTTACAATTGATACTAACTGCCGACCATAATGTGCGCGGGTTGTTCTAGCTCATTGTCGTGCATGGAGGAATAACGCGACGCTGCCACCACAGGCGTTAGGCTGCTTTTGAAGAGTTCATCTGAGCTTAACTTGCAGCTGGGCACCAGTTCGGTAAATTCAGAACCCAAACCAAATTCCATGTCGAGGAATCCATATTCCCATGTGGAAGAAGCTGATGCAGCTGCCGCATTGGCGCTCATACTACTCACATAAGAAGAGGTGAGCGAATGCGTCGCCGATGAGATGGTTGAGAGCGTTGTGAAAGTGGCTGTCGAGGAAGAGGTACATGTGTTGAATGCAGCGATGTTGTTGCTGTTGCTAGGAGCTGAAGCGCTGGCGCTCGTACTCGAGGCGGTTGTTGATTGCACGGTGGTGAAGCTGCCGCTGATTGTGACTGCAGGCGGTTGGGCTGTGATGTCCGCTACGCTGACGCTTGTCGCTGCTGTGACAGGCACTGGCGTGGCGGTGGCTGGGTTGGTTATCGACAATGCAGGCGGCAAAATGGCGAAGAGGTCATTGCTGTTGAGCGGATCGAGCGCGGACTGGGAAGATAAACTAAGCACCGAACTCCAGTTGATGGAGCGTGTGGAATCGTCATCCGCGTAGCCAGAGTCACTGCTGTCGGTGGTACTGACGACGGACGTTGTTGTGGTTGTAAGCGGCGTTGTGAGTACGTTGCTAGATGCATTTGTCGCCGTCGCCGTGGAAACAACATTGTTGGTTGGCGCATTTTCTGTGCTGGGTGCAATTAATGTTTCTACGACTACGGACTGCTGCGTTTGCGCCGCAGATTGCGTTGGTGTTGGTGATGGTGGTGCGGGCGACATTGCTGGCTGACAGGGAAATGGCGTAGCGCGACCGGACTGCGATTCCCGGAAGGGGTAGTGATCATAAGGATGCAGCGTCGCGGGCGGAGATGTCGCCGATAATGTTGGGGAATCACAGTTGTTCATGTTGATACTAGTAAGACTATTGCTAAGCGCAAAGCCACCGCCGAGCTTTTGTATCTGCTGCGGTTGTACGCTCAAGTATGGTGGTGGCGTGTCGAGTCGCTCGGGCTGATTCTGGTATTGCGGCACATGCTGGGAAAAGTGTTGCGTGGGCTGCTGTTGCAGCAGCGATGGCGGCTGGTGTTGCACCTGATAGTCCATGTTAGACAGGCGAGCGCAGTTCATAACGGGCGGCGCATAGTCCTGGTGCTGTTGATGCAGCATTGTGTGCGGCTGCTGTGGGACTAGCAATTGTTGCGGCGGCTGCTGCGGACCCAAATGATGCTGCAGATGATGCGGTGGATGCAGATGCTGATGGTAGTGATGCTGCTGGGCGGCGGCCGCCTGCGCTGCTGCTTGATGCATCTCCTTAGCTTCCGTTTCGATTTCGCGATCGATCCGCTTGAGGGTATTGCAGATTAGTACCGATCGGTAGAGCGACTGCTCGGATACCTGGCGAAAACGCGACAGCTTGAACATGGAAAGATTTCGTATCTTCAGACGCAGATCCTTGTAGCAATTCTTGTTTGTATTACACCAGGCACCCCGACCATCACAGCAGCGCTTGAGTGGGTGGCGCGCATCGAGATTAGCGGCGGCCACATGTAAATTGCCAAAGGGAGGTGGTGGTACGACGCTTGCGGTGTTAACGCTGTTCACATTGGACACAGGACTGCTGCAGCCCAGCTCCAGATACGATTTTCCGTTCTCGGCACAGCGAATTGTTTGCTGCTGTTGTGGTGGCTGCGGGGGCTGCTGCTGGGGTGGTGGGTAGGCCGCCTCTGGCGCCACATAAAATTGCTGGCCGCCACTAGCCAGCCCTCCAACGGCGCTCTGCCATTGCGTGAAACCATTACCGCCAGGCATGCGCATATGCTGCAGGCTACCAGTGCGCGAACAATTCTGCTGCGGGTATGGCTCTGAGTAGTAGTTGGGCCGCGAGCCGTAACCAAGCGGTGCAGGCGCATAGCTGCCGAGTCGCTGTTGCTGATGCGGGGACGTAGGTGTTGGAGGCGGTGGCGGAAATGAGTGATATCGCAAGGGACAGTAAGTAGGTATTATACTCTCCTCCTCCTCGTAGTCATCTTCAAAATCGTCATCATCATCGTCCAACTCGTCGGCACTCAGTAGCGTTGTAGCTAACGTTGAGCGTGTCGCAATACTACCCCATGGGTCACTCGGTACTGCGACAGCTTGCAGTTTCGAAATGCAATCGACAGGCTCTGTGGCTGAGTTAGTCCATGGCTCACAGCAGGGTACAGCAGCAACCTCTTCCAACTTTGCAATACTGTCTTCTGGGACGGGGGTGGTGGAAGTGGGAGGTAATGGCGTTGTAGCGGTTATCTCTCTGGCCATTGGCAACAACGATGCGACCACTGATGGCAAACTTGTAGAGCTCGAGGTTGTGAAGCCTGTCGCTGACGGTACCACTGGGTGTGGTGTGTTTGAGTCAGCGGTTTTAGTAACTTCTTTACCATTGCTAATACTATTAAGGATCCCCGTATTGCTGCTGTTGCTCCCGTTACCACTAATGTTGCCATTTGCGTTGTTGTTGATCACTGTGGTGTCCTTTAGGGCGTCTGAGGAGCCGTTCGTTAAGGTTCGCATGCTGGCGGTTGCATCTTTTATACTGATGCCATTTAGTTGCTGTTGCTGCTCCTCAATGGCTTCGATGTAGTTGTTATTATTAATTGACCATTTGCCTGTTTTAAGGGGAGGCGGACTGTTGGTATATGTGTTGGCCTGTTTGCCATCGAAGGTTATCTCATGTTTCCGCTTGGTGGCGGCAGTAGCTTGAAGACCCATTGCTGAATTGATCTGAAAACGAAACAAAAGAAGTGAGAATTAATGTATAGCCTTAAAGGGATCTAGTATTTAGTTGTATTATAAAAAATGCATTACCAAGATTATTCAGCCTCATTGTGAGAGTCGTGTCGAATGCAAGTCGTTTTTCGAGGGTCTTGTCGTACCGAAAATTGTATGTCATTGCCTAAAATTTCCACTCGACAGTGTATTAAAATGGAAAAACTTGTCACGTCTGCATAGTTTTCGACGCTTTTCGTCGTTTACTTATTTCAGCACTACAGTAGACAATGCCAATTTTGTCAAGTCGTACAATTTAGCCTAATTTACGACTACGCAATGAGGCTGATTACACAATAACTTATACATGTCTATTTGACTCTTAAGTATATGTAAGACTATAGTTACATTGAGAATTCTACACGTGTCATCTATGGCAAACACTAATTTAAAAGTTAAGTCCAAGCGCCAGAAAAAAGATCTGCCACCTATTCCCCAGTCGACGTTTTTAATCGACAACATTTGCAATGGTATAACCTCTCATACCTTACTCAACAGAAGCAGATGCCTTAGACGCCGTACATGCTGGTGTAAAATGACGGGCAATAAATTAGCCTGCCAATAATCAGCAACTCCGTAGTCATTACGTTTTCAACCTCGCTCGCTTGCGTTCCTTAATGAAGAAAATAAATATATACTCCCTAGCTCTAGCCAAGATTGCGCTAACAAAGAAGGCGTAAGCAGCAGCGAGAGCAACAATAATCAAGAAATCGACAAGGATATGCTGTGCAGAGTAAACATTTTCGACCCTTACGCTGAGCGCACTTTCCGTTCGTCTATGCGGCGCGCGTACAATAAATGCCGGCATTACAATCGTTAACTTATACGCTACTAGCGAAGGAAAATTCCATACAGAGTCCTCAATTTTTTGAAAGTTTATGTATGGTCTTAGGACATTGATTCGCTACTTGTAAGACGAATTAAATATTTCATTGTGCTTATGATGCTGGCGCTGGATATGAGATCGAAAGCAAGTAGGGTGGAAGGTGAAATGTGGATGTTTGTAATAATGTAAGCGTAGCAATATGATTTGGCTTCAAAGCTACAAGCGTAGAAAGGGCATCCAGAAAGCGCCGGTGAGGTTAGAAGCTCTGTGCTTCAACCTCTATGCTCCAGTAGATGGTGATGATGGCTTACTAAATAAGCTTCAGCTTTAATTGTTGTTCGTCGGTTTGTTGCTTCCAACCCACATCAACGTCACCACTGCGTGCCTAATTTTCTTCGTTGACGCTGTGTTTGTTGGATTTAGCGAGCTTTTTTTGCCCCCTTTTACATATGTACATACATAAGTACTACATATATCGTCGTTTATATTTCAAAATGGTTCTCTCTCTTATAAAGCATCCGCATTTGTGGCCAGTATATTTTAGGACGAATGGATAAAGCTTGAGCAAAGAGCTTGTGTGAGCAAATCCAATTTTTGGCAAAAAACGCGGTTTTGCAGAGCGACGATACGCGGTTTTGTACTTTAAACGGCGATATGTATTTGTATGTACAGCGTGTAAAATAATAACTCGCACTAAGTTTTTTGAATTACGATGTGGTTAGCTTAATTTCGATTAATTATTGCTTCATTCATAAAAATATAAACTATCTACGACATATTTTAGGCATTGATTTCAATCCTCGTACTCTTGATTTGCAGGACTTGCAAGCGACACGGGATCGTACAATACATACTTACATTATTTGCGCTTTCAGACTTACAGGCTCATTGCGAGAGTCGTGTCGAATGCAAATCGTTTTTTGAGAGTCGAATCGTATCGAAAATTTCTTCTCATTGCCTAAATTTCGACTCGACTAGTGTATTAAAACGGAAAAACTTGGCAGCACTGCATAGTTTTCGACGATTTTCGTCGTTTACTTATTTCAGCACGACGGTAGACAATGCCAAGGTTGTCGAGTCGTACAATTTAGCCTACTTTGCGACATACGGAATGAGGCTGTTAATCTGAATATGCGAAAAAACGCGCTTAGAGACTGCTGTAAAGCATAGAAAAGAATAACACAAATTGTTGCATACGATACAAGATAAATGAAAAGCCAAAGCTTGGATAAATGTACTTCGATAATAATTTCTTTCCATACGTTGCTTTTGTTTTCCCTGAAAACACAGCTTCAAACGCCTGAGAAAAATGTATTTCTCAATTTGATATCAAATGTTTTTCTCAAATGATTCTCAAATTGAAAACGAGGTTTAAATTTTACATTTGAAATTCATTTGAGGTTGATTTGAAGAAAGATGGCAAGTGTCAAACGACATTAAAATGCGCAGTTAAATAAAAAATTGTAAGAATAAAATTAAGATCAATTGAAAAAAATGAATAGAAAAAAGAGAAGCTCTCAAATAGTGTATTTGATGTTTGCGCGGATTGAAGAAGCTGCAGCCGTTCAAGACGTATTTATTATAAATTACTTTATCTTAATTGTTTCTTTTGTTATGTGCATATATATCGCACACCGTCTTCAAAAGAGTCACAACTTAAAATTTGGCATTTTTGAGATTATGCGCTAAAAATGCATACAGACCTTTTATTTATCTTTCAGCAAAAGCTGGAGCAAATTTTTGTTATAATTTGTTAAAAAAAACCTAAGGTAAAGTCGCCCTTGCCCATATGATTGTCATGTGCTAAGAAATAGTTTTTCGCATTTTCTGACAAATGTGTTATTTTGAGTTGTGACTCTTTTGAAGACGGTGTGCAATATGTACACCGCAAAAAAAAAATATATATGAAATATACATTTCCTATAATAAATTTTATTTCAACAAATTGATTTGAGAGTTAACAATATTCGCAAATGGAGATCAAACCCTCTTTTTATTGAGAAAGCTGTAATTTTCAAATCAATATCAAATTATTTTCAAACGTTTGCCATTTGAGAAATACTTTGATTTCTAATCATTCTCAAATGTATATCAAACCTATTTGTTTGCTGGGTTTAGGCAAAAATTGCGCCATAGTTACCTGTATAACGGCGCTAGGTAAATGCTGGGAAACAAAATTTTTGGCGAGTTTTTAGTTTAAGAGAAAGTCTTACAAGCAAGTGCAAGAAAGTAATAACAGACACAGTCGGTTTGCGAGCTACGAATGATTTAAGCTATCCTAAAATTTGCTGCGTCAACGAAATGGCGTCAACAAACTCGCAACTGGCAAAACTGGCAGCTCGCAAAAGCGGAGGACGTGGAGACCTTACAACGATTTTCAAAAGTAAGAATTCCATTAGAAGAGCGTACATTGGCATAGACTAATGGGGCTGAATCTAGATTTGTGTTGGTGGTACCGCAAACAGACGGCTGTGGAATTGCAGGAAGCTGCCAACTGTCAGCTGGTCGTTTACAGACACTTAGCCAGACATTTGTCGATAGACTATGAAATGCAGTACAATACCTTACCCCGTCGCATCCAATGATTATACTATTTTTAAAGGTGCGTCCTCAGTTCCTTCTCTTCCTATCCATGTTTACTGCTGCTGTGCTTAGCTAAAATTCTGACTCAGCCGCTGACGAAAGACTAGCCTCTGCCTTAGCGTACATCAGAAAAAAAAGACAAAGCCCCCGTATCTACATTTCTGTATGTACGTATCGAAGTCGTCACTGAAGCACACGTGCAGTTTTCCTACAAAAGTGGCGGTGGTGCTGGCGAAAGGCATTGCCTTGGTGGTGGAAATTACTGCCATAGTCATTTCATCCCTTCAACACGTTGCATTAAGAATGTGCGTCTTTGCCGTCGCTGAAACTAGTGAAATACCATACTCGCCGTACGTTCGCATCGTTTATACGATGGATGCATTTCCCTTCGAATGAAAACAATGCGAACAACAAAAGCAAGGGAAAACGGAATACAACAAAACAACTGCCGCTACAATGTGCGACCCTTTTGCCATTCTGCAGGCTGGTCGTCCGCTTTGGGTTGTCTACATCTCTGGTGAATACGCAGTTTGCTCCTTGCCTTATTCTTCTTTGTTTTTACTGCTCACATCGCTCTGTCTGCCTGCCTGCCTACTGGCTGACTGTTTGGCATGTACTCTTCGTATATTTTTAGAAAATTATCTCAACAGCCACCGCCGTCGTCATCGTATTCGTCGCCGCAACATTTTGTCGGTCTGTCCTTCCCTTCTCAGTATGCTTCTGGTTGCATTTATACAAAATACGACGCATTGGCGGTAACATGCGATATGTGCCTGCATATGTACTTATATGTATATATATATATATATATATACATACACATATGAAATATGTATTTTTCCATCGGTGCGTTCCGCCGTTTGTTCTTTCCCTTTTCGTTGGTCGTGGCAATGATGTTGCGTGTTGAACGGACTGACGGGTGTGCGCTTCCATGAAAACCGAAATGAATGAAACTCAAAATAAGAAAGACTGACAGACACAAACATGTGGTATGTATATGCGTACGGAGCAAACGACCGACTCGACTCGGGTAAGTGCTTACATATAGCATGTTGCTTATGCATTTTGGAAACATTGAAGAGGGTACGAGCTGGGTTTATATGTGCATACATATGCATATATGTAAACAAGAGCATTCTCGCCGCCCTCATTATTGTTGCGCTGTTAGGAATTACAGAGCTGCTTTACGTTTTTCTCATTACAAACTCCCTAGCATTTCTTTAAGTTTTATGTTTGATGGATATTTTGCAGCTGAAGTGCTTGTATGATTGTGTTTCCATATGCTGGTTCAAAAGGTCTACATTAGGTACTTACGTATGTGTGACAATATGTTGCCAACAGCTGGAAGATTTTTCAACACTCAGCTGTAATGTGGTATACGAGGGATATGTACATACAGTGGTGCAAAAAAAGGACACCACAAAATCTTATTAAAAAGTTGAAAATTCGGATCCAATTTTGCTGAATTTTTATAAGTTTTGCACTAAGTTTGAAGAATGAATTTATATGGTCTTTTGTTAGATAATGAGCTACAATCTTATAAAAAAATAATAAATATTAAATAAACGAAAGAAAAATTGGAAAAATTTTAAAAAATGCCGTGTTCCTATTTATTTTTCCACCACTGTAGCTTTGATGTTTAAAATATTCTATACTTCATACATTTGTATTGCAGATCGGAGAAATGTCGAATTGTTTTTTTTTTTGTTGTGTAGGAAGTGCCTCATCAGTACGTTCAATAATAACATCAACTTAAGTTTTTTTTTGTAGCTCAAGCTACAGAGAGCTTTCAGAAGCTGGCGTTAGCTTTCACGCCTAGTAACTATGTACATATATATGTATGTATGTACAAAAATTGGAAACTTTTTTTTGAAAGATCTTAATGCTTTTTGTGGTCTGATGCTACTTGTGTCAAGTTAATACTGATCCTATGTATAAGTATGATTCGCGCTTTAATTATTTCAGTTGCTAATATAAAAGATGTGTAATTTTTTAGTTTGTTTTTAATTTACTCGTGAACCGTTTTGGAAACTGTATGAGAGTGTAAAGTGAACACTTTCCCAATTGCTTCAATGTGTTTTCTTACGCAGTTCTCAAACGCTCAACAACATTAACCAAGAATAACAACGGACCATAAGTGGTACGACGTGATCAAATGGCAACAGTGTACATACATATGTATGCTGTACTGCTGACATAGAAAAATTTCTCTCGCCATCCGAGATTTATTTCTTGGCTTATTTTCTGGTTAAGTTTGCAGTGCCAACACCGATATTCAACTGACACTGAAGCTGTTGCTGATGCTGAATGGTGCTGGCGGTGCCCACGCTCTATTTTCGTTTGCTTTTACTTTGTTGTTGTTGCCAATTGCCGTAGCTATTTGAATTTTACTCAATCTGCTGCATTTTGTTGGTCGTATTCTACATTTCAGGCGAGGGCCGCGACTCGCTTGCTGCCATTTCTTGTTTACTTAGTATGTTCTCGGTCGTCGAAGAAACCGACACCGACACTGACGACGATAAAGTCGAATGTGTATAGTATTTTTAAAGCTTTTAAGACTTTGCTTTTGTATTTATTCTTGAATTTTAACTTACATATGTTTGTAATTGCGCCGTTTTCTTTTGCCTGTGCATCGTACTTCGTTCACTCGTACAAGATAAAATGAAATAAAACTCAAATATTGTCAAGGTGCGGCTGCAGACATACTTATTTAGGTATGTGTACATAATTACATACATGTACTTGTGGGTGGGTGCAGCAAAACGTTCATCAGCGTTTGAAGCTTGCTTGCTAACCCGGCTATAGTTTGTTGTATTGGCTTGGATTTTGGTTCAGCTCAGTACTGGTGCTGGCTAGCGCCAATTGTTACCTTTTTTATCGGCGCCTTTTCGGCTTTCAGGTCAAAGTTTGTTACGATATCGCTATATAGTGTGTCAAAGCCGTTGTTGATTTTAAGTTTTAACTGACAAGATGCCAAAATATTAATTTATTTATTATTTTAATTTTATTATTTTAGAAATTTTATATTACTCCAAAATATAGCCTTTACTTTATGTGTCTGCATTGAAGGCATAACGGTGCCAATTCTACTGTATTTGGTTTCATTAACAAATTTTGTTAAATATCTACATACATTGTTGACTCCGTTTTTCTTTACTAAAAGGTTTTCTACATTCATATCATATCCGTTTATTAAACGTAAAATTTCTTACCCACTACGTTTTTCTGCGAAACTTTCCATCCGCTTCAACATTCTCGAGCACACCTTAGTAACGCTATATCTCGCTTAGTTGCTTTGTTGAAAATTGCTTTAAATTTTTATTCTTCATTCTTTTATTATTTGTTTTTCGGGAGTATTTCGTTTTTTTTTTTTTTATTTTGTGCGACCGACATGCGTCATTACTGAGTCACAGCATTGACTGTTTATCGCTGGCGACTTGCTTGCTCGCCATATTGTGCCTTAGTCACTTAAGAAGTAAAGTTATGTTAAGTATTTATCCGTTGCCTGTAGCGGACATATTTTCGCAATGCAACGTCTGATTCAACTCAATGTGATTCTTAATTCATGTCACATACATATGTGCATACCTAAATATGTATATGCAGATATAAGCCCATTGGCGTGAGTGAGTTGTTTCCAGCAGTATTGGGATAATCATGGAAGAGGCAGTTCTTAGAAAGATTCCTCTTGTAGTGTATGAATCATATGCATGGCGCATGCAACAAATGTCCGCTATTACGCATATGTTTCATCATATCTCCCCACGCTGATTTATTACTATGTCGCTAGACAGTACCCACACAACGGCAGCTAGCAACTACTCTCGGGCAATAAGCGACTGGGATATCGCGAGAATGAAGCGAGGGTAGGTAGAAGAAAGCAAGGAAAGTGTAGTGTAATAACAATTTTCGGCGCACGTGTTCACTTTGCTTGCGACGTCACACACACAACACACAAACTGTGTTCCACCCATAACCCACTCGTTGCTTACAACCGGCCAAACATCCATTTACCCACCTATCCTGCCATTCATACACTTATCCATTAATCTTTTTTCGAACTAACACTGCATGCATGTATCTTGCTTAGCAAAATACACATCGTGTGCGCTTTCAAGGGTAGCTTTGCTGCTGACGACAAAGTTTTTCATTCACTCACAAATGCAGCATGCAGCCACTTGATAGTCGCTAAACTGTATTGTTTGTGAAGGGTGAATGAATTCCCTTTAAAATTGCACGTATATGTAGGTTTATCAAAACCTGTACGAAAATGCTTACTAAGAAGCAACGCTATGTCGTAGTAAATCTTAGCGAACGTAAACAATGTACATATGTATGTAGACTACAAAGACGACATGCACGAAAATGATATTGATAATAAATATGACAAAAGATCGAAATCAAAGAACAATCGCTTAATATACCACATATTTTCATGAATGGGTTATACGTATGTATGTATGGCAAAGAGTGCTGCCTAATTGGCGATTAGCGTGAACAGTATGCGCCCAGGCAGGTGAAGAAACAAAACATAGTACAACAAAATGCATCACTAACGTTTACTACTCTTCTTTTCCCACAGTAAATCAACTTTTTATTGCCAGATTATACATTTAAATTTTTATGACTTATTTATTCCATTGCAAAGTAGATCTGCCTGCATACTATTTTTGATAGACTTTCATTGTACACGTATTCGTATATTGTTTGTCAACAAAGTAAACGGAGGTTGCTTTTATTTATGAGCTTTCTGTTATTATTGCCCTTTTATTACTAAAATTTACTCACAAAACGTCGTTGTGCTTATAAACAAAGTTTTTCTCTTTGCTTTTTAAAGGTGTAGGAGGCAGCTGTAGTAGTAGTAATACATATTATTAGCAGGCGTAGACGCATCAACCATGTCAATAACCCGGAAAGAAAAATGTAATTAAAGGAAGCAAAGTCTCGAAGTTCACATACACACAAACAACGACACTTGGGCGCTCTCCCACTCTCAAACAGCACACTCAAGCACGTTCACTGTTCATTCAGACTAGGTATGTACGTAAATATGTTTGTATGTACATATATTATAAGCCATGCGAGATATAGCATCGTGCAATAGTAAGCACGGAAACAAAACAATGCAGCAATTTAAAAGCAGCAATACTACTAGTTCAAAACAATAACCAAAGAGGCAGCACTGCAAAAAGGAAGCACGTTTTCTGTTGAATATTGAACTCAGAACATGTATTCTGCTTCTGTTGATGACGTCGATGAAAAAGTATGCCAAACGAATTATAAAAAAATTTCACACCAACAAACAAACATAAGTTAATGGAATTTATTACCTTGCTCCTTTGATTATTGAGTATACTCTGACAATTTTTTGAAGGTCGCTGCATAAATTTGTCACATCGCAAGAGCAAAAAAAATCATAAGAAATATGTATTGAACAAATAAACAAACAAGAAGGTAAAAGACTTTAGTTGGTGGTGCTGCGCCGTCGTCGGGAGACGATAACGATACCGCTCTCCATAGTGCAAGAGTATGTAAATAAATAAAAAACTAAACAAAAATCATTGAAAAGTAAAGGAGTAATACCGGAATCGTGAAAAGAAATGAGAGCGCGCATATATAATGTACTACATATTTTATTCGTCATTACAGCTGTTTGTGTGTAATAATTTACAATGTGGTGCGCCGACGTCCATTGAGAGCACACAACAGACGGTAAGTAAAATGAAAATTGAAAATAAGCTCAAGATGCACGTGGGTAAGTAAGATGTTGTATACATATTTATTATTGGCATATTTAATACGAAATAAAAGAAATAAAAAGAAAAAAATCAGCATCGATTATAAAGCTTTAGTGAAGAAGACGAAATGCTAAGTGAAATTAATGATGATGTTTCCATTCTCAATAAATCGAAGAGACTAGTCCAATTCGTAACAAAAATGCAAGTACAAAAGGTAAAGAAAGCAGGGGGAAGGAATAAAATAAAATACAAATTCTCGAACGCTCATAATTCAGAAAACACTTCTCAAAAGATTTCTACGGTATTCAAGTTACGAAAGCACTCTTCTCAGAGGGGTAAGTAGACATTTTCGTATTAATATAAAATTTGTACATAATGTGAGCAATATATCGTTAGAGTAGTCAAAAATGGATCTAGATAATAAGCGCACTAAACGTTAATAAAAAAGGGTACCAACATAGAAGCTGTGCAACTTGTCAACAAAATAAATAACAATACCTAATGCCGCTCTGGGCATTGCTTACCTTTGTGGTACATTTAGACAGTAGCGGGACAAAAACAATTACCACCAGGGTTCGAAAACCAAAACAAACCGGTGTCAACAAGGTACATCCAATTAGTTATAGAAGTAAACTCAAACAAGTCGTTCTCGTTTGTTAAAGAAACTAAATATATATTACATTTACATATAGGGTCCCTAGCACGTGCGTTCTGTTTACACGCTGCAAGCAATGACGTTTGCGAATATAAAAACAAAGAATTAATTCACAACCAACTTGCACAAATGCTAAGGCCACAAACTCGATTTGCTATCCTTTTCATAAATGCAATTAATCACGCATTAATTATAGTAATGAAAATCTTATTTAAACGAATTTTCGACGAATAAACAAATGAAAACAAAAGCAAGCAAACATGTGAAAGCTAGACGCTTAGACGAGAACGTCATGCTTTGATGATATTGCTGTTTTGGCGTCGTTGTGGTCGTCGTAGCTGTTAATGACATTGTCGGCGCTACGCATCACATTATGAACGCAATAGCGGCATTTAATATGTAAGCATGAAACAACAAACAGCAGCAGCAACTTTGACAGCTGATTAAATTTATGAGTGTTGTCGTGGAGAACGAAACTGAGAGCATAGACAAATGGTGATGACGAAACAGGTGGTGGTAATTTAAGGCAATCCCAACAGTGCTTATAAGTGCTTGCTACAAGACACATTCATGCGTACATATATGGTATATTTGTTATGCAGCGCCAGCTGGAGATGATGTGACACATGCGTTTAGCGTGACGTAGTAAATAATTTCAAAGCTTGAAAGTAGTGTGAGAACGAAAGTGTGCGTAAATTACCAGCGGAAATCATTGCAAGTGAGTCAATGTAGCCTAACTGTTGGTGGTTAGTGCTTAGTTTGTTTACGATTTTTGTAAAAAGAGGAATGAAGAAAAACATGGCAAATTATTGAAAGTGTGTAAACATTGTTGGATCAGTTGCATCAGATGCAACAAGTCGATAATAAATGAAATAAATAAAACCAGACGCGCGCTATGTAGATATGTAATATAAGAACGTTATCTAGTCACCTGATATGTAACGAGCAAGACAGCGTTTGTTTTGAACTGTATCGACAGCAAATTCTGCAACTCGAATTTAAAATTAAAGGAAAATATCTACAAGAGAGAAAAGCTTAAGATAACAGTAAGCATTGCATTTTATTAGATTTACCAATAAGTTTTTAGCTTCCGATATAGTAATACGTAGAGCGCACTAAGATAGGCAAATGTGTGCTAACATTCGCTTATTGCTTAAACGAGCCCAAGGAAAAAACGCTGTTGCAGCCTATAGAGTAAAGTAAAGTTTTACCCGGTGTTTTCATTAGTGTTAGCAACGGCACCGGCAACTTTAAAACCGCCAACATTTATGCCGGCAATAAAAAATGTCCTAAAAATAAACACGAACAAAAAAATCATTGGCTTTATATTGTTGGCCCCGCGGTGACGGCATGAATTGTACGCTTGCAGCTGGCGTGCCAACATTTTAAGAAAATAAAAATAAGCGAGCATTTAAAGACAGTCAATGAGCTCTAACTAAAAGATCAGTTTAGTAAACCAAACCTGCCACGATACGAGCCACATCCAGCGGTGAAGTGAATTTACGCTTGGTTTGAAATGCAACGACCGGTTGACTAGTCAGTCGGTCCACACAACGACAGTAAACATGTCGAATCAACCAACTAACCCGCTGTGTACGCGCACGCGCAATAAAAGATTTCACATACGCAGCAGTATGTTGCTGTTAACTTTACCTTCAAATTCCAATCTGCGTTAAAAAAATCGAGAAAACAATAAAATGACAACCCACCTTTTGAAAACGAACACCATAATACAGCTTTAAGAGCTGGCATTCCAAGCAGCAGTCAAAGACCGAGTCACAAAGTGGAATAGAGCCAGCTCAACAGTTATAGCATGGAGTACTTGAAAGCCACGCAAGTCGATGTTCGAGTTGGAGCTAGAGACGAACGCCTGAGCCTTCATAGCTTTTATAACAAAACATTTTTATTACAGTATTTTGCTTTCCTTCATTTCGTTGTCCGTCGATCGAATTGGTGTGCTGTGTTATTGCTTTATGCTTTTACAGCATCGATGCTATTCTGCCGTTGGCTGGAGCTTAGCACTGCTCGTTTTCAAGCGAATACAAGTAAATTTAAGCAGTAGAGAGCTCCTCGACAAAGCAATTTTTCTCCGCATAGCTTAATTTGAAAAAAGAAAATCTGAAAAAGATAGCAACAAAAATCGCCGTCAACATGAAGCAAACCACTCGCAAACCTGCTTGGCCAGTCGTCGTCCCATGTCTTGCTTTCATACGATTTGAGCACATTTGAAGCGATACAAAGTGAACTCGAGTTACTGGTTTCTTTTGCTGTCAAGTCAATTTACTATTGACTGATGGACTGACGACTGACTATAATGACTAACTGCATGGTTGCCTGTTTCGCTACTTTACCCGCAGGCCTGCAGGTCCGCTGGTTTGTTGTCTTTATTGTTTAATTCGAATAGCGTAGATCTATTCAAATGCCGTTTCAACACGCGCGTTTCTCTTCATTTGTGTCGATCGTCCGGCGGCCATGAAGGCCCACTTCACTAAAAAAAAATATTTAAAAAAGTAAAAAAATTACAGCTCCATGAAATTGTAAAGAATATCTGTGGCGAAAGCTACCAAAACAATAACATATGCTACACGTGCAACAGCAAATAGTCGAGTTTGCGGTCGTTGTAGTTGTAAATGTCAAAGCTCACCTGAAAGCGCGTATTTTGATGTCAGAGAAACCCTTAGAAACTGAGTCACTAATAGCGGGAAATCGGATCGTTAAAGTAAAAAGCTTTAAGTGCATTTCCGTCAGCATCGATAAGCTCATCTCACAGTTCTAAAACAAAAACTCGCGCTAAATGACTATGTAAATGCTTTTTTGTACTTAGATTACCTTGCGCATAAATTCCTGTTTATGTGGATATCAATACGAAGGCAAGATCATTAGCTAGTGCTATCACCTTTTATAATTTGGTTGTACCGCTGCCGTTTTCTCAGCAAGTTGTCATGTAGAAAAAAATGATGAGAAAATACAGTCAGTTACACGTACATATGTTTGCAACTAAAGGGCGGAAGTGTCCCACTGAGTGTTTTGCAGACTGTCTGTAACATATGAGTGACAGGCTGCTAAATAAAGCACTTGTTGAACTAACGCATTAAGAGTGTATATAACATAGTATTTGGGAGCATTTAGAATCGACAGCACAGCGAAACGCTTTAGTTTAAGGTGTGCGTTTTTGTAGTTTTTCAGTTTGTTTATACGTCTGAAAATGGGGCAAGGCATGACTAAACAAAACAATGCCACTTTTAGACTTTGCTGGGGATGGCTATGACTGTGACAATCACACCACTATCCAAAACCGCTAATGTCATGCTGTTCTGTATATACATAAAGAAACGACGCTAAGGATCAGCCGCTTACAAAAAAATTAAGCATCGTCCACGGAAATGTCTGCACATGCTTCTACCAACAATAGATGTTATGTGTCTCCACATAGAGTCGAGACTAAAGGCGCTATTTGTGCTGACCTCTGAAGACGAAATTCCCCAAAATAAGTAGACATAGTGGGGGATAGTCTTAATATTGAAAGCCTTTTGACACAGAATAGCACACTTGAAGAGATGTGTAAGCGCTGCACCACCTTTGTTGAAGATTTTTCATTTTCTGGTTCAACTCCATAGAGCAAATACGCAAATGATAAGAATTT